TCCTCGGAAACCCTGAACAGGGTCGCAGTAAGTTGGAGTCAACTCCATGGCACTTAGTAACAACAACAGCATCAATGTTAATTTCTTGAGTTTGGTAATTCTAATGTGGAGCCTTGATCTGGTGCTCTAGGATAAGCACTGGACTGCTAACTACAAGTTCAGCAATTTAGAACCACCAGCCACTCCTTGGAAACCCTATACAGGGTTGCTTTGATTCGGAAGTGACTCAATAGCACTTAACAACAATTTTAGCTATCTATATAAGACAGTGGGATCCTGGTGTGGTGTTGGAGGATAAATACTGAACTGCTAACCAAGGTTGGCAATTCAAACCCATCACCCACTCCGTATACCCTATACAGGCTGGCTCCATGTCAGAACCAACTCGAAAGCACTTTACAACATATAAGACAATGTCCTTGTTTTTAGGAAGAATTTAAGAGTATATGGTTTTATGTTTCCAACTTATGTTGAAATGATTCAGGTAAAAAAACTATTATGTGGTGCTGTAGGATAAACACTGAACTGCTGACCACAAGATAAGTTGTTCAAACCCACTAGCTATTCCTCAGAATCCCTATACAGGGTTGCTATGATTTGGAACTGACTTAATAGCACCATATATTTTGAGAGAGAAAATGGCAGATGTAGTAAAATAACAATTTGGGAATGTGGGTGAAGAGTATACAAGATTACTTTGTACAATTATTTCAAAATAAATACAAAAAGATACTGGAAGAAAATGTACCAATGTGATAGTAGTTACTATTTCAAGGTGCTTTTATCTTCTGTCTTCTTCTTTTTAATGTTTTCTGTAAAGTACCCTTTTTATGTTATATTTTTTAGAAATACCATATGTAATTTTATAATTATACCATGCAATTTGACTTAGCATTATTTTTTTCTTTAATTTTGAAGATAGTAATTGTGGTGGTTTTAGGATTTGCTCCAGGTTATAGTAAGTAGCTAACTTTAGTTCCACCAGGGTTGTTAGGTGCCATTGAT